TCACATTCATTTGTCTACCTTGTCAAAATAACAGTGGCAAAGAATCATTCACAAAGAAGCCAACCAATTTAGTCAGGCAAATAATGTTTTGTAACTGGCCATATAGCCTTTATTGAGTTGCATTGATCATGGTCAGTCAAGAATATCGAATTATTTCTGATTTCCTGGAATCAGCAGTAAAATCAGACTGACTGAATATTTGATGTCTTGATAGAAAAACATAGAAGAGCAACGCAGACTTCATCTTATTTACATCATGTGGGCAAAAATTCATCAAACTGCACTATAACTAGAACTTACTTCATACTTTTATGAACAGATAAATTAAGATAAACATAATTATTACTTGTTTGCCAAAATGACCATATGAATTTTATCATGACACTCTTCTTAATTCTAATCGTGTGTTGATTGCCCTGAAAATCTAATACCTGGACAAATAATTGCCTCCAGAAATAATATTGATTTCATTTGTAAATATACTTTATCTTTCAAATAATGGGGAACGGATACTTTAACTACTGTTGTGAAATTGCTGATTAAAAATGTGTTGGTGTTGTAGTCAGCATAATAAAAAAGCCATCAAATGAATAAAAATAAATGGTTTACACCAACAGATATTACCGTAGTTCGTCTTTCTACAGAAAATTGACTAGTCATCTTTATAGCAATGGAAAACTGCAGTGAAAAACACTATCATGGTCAAGAGACGCTAACCAATGTGCAATAAAAATTTCAAAAACATAAAATACATGAGACTGTCTCGTTAGTATTTTCTTAAATAAAAAGGTTCATATCCTGGAATAAAGGTTTTAAAAAAGACAACGACGGGTACCGAATTGAAACTTAGATAAGTTCACCGTAAATGTACTGCGTGTAACAACAGTCATTATACCAAACCTTTTCAGTAGTTAATGAATATTCTGAATATATACTTTCTTGTAGCATGCCTTTACACTTAATTGTTCCTACACTGAAACGTTTCACCTGTTTTTGCACCCTTTTCGTCGAGTAAGTAAACACCCTTTGAACACTGCCATAACATTTAACATTACAGCTAATATTAATTTCATTAGTAATATTGATGGTTTCAACACTTGTGATCTTCCCAGTGTCTACTTCTGTAGATGTACCTAGATGGCCAACCAGTCTTTCTATCGTCTTTCATTATCACCTCATTATTGTTTGCAACCTGAATAACCTATTCGGTCTGTGCTAGCGTACTAATTTATGTTTGTTCATTCATCCATTCCTACAAACCAATACTTGAATCCATTCCCTTACTGAAAATAAACGAATAATATTTCACTCATACGCTGGAATGCCAACAGAATCTCCAAAAATTTCATAAATGTCGTGAATTCTCCTTTGGTAACCATCAGTAAGCGAACAATAACACAGGCTCTGTCCTATTTTGCCCACAAAAACAAGCTATGATTTTATTTTGGCGGTATCTCCGTTCAAATTTGCACAAGTTTCGTCTTAGTCTTAGACACCGAAATAAATCTGGAGCTGTTCATATCAAGAAGAAGTATTATTTTAGGAAAATCTAAAGCTATTATCATGCGGCATCCAGCAATGATTTCAACCACTCAAGATTTTATGTCCACAAGTATATTTGTAAATTTTCTGAAAAATATCAAGAAAGTTCCAATGTACCGTGTGAACGCCACTTTTTCTCAGAGAGATAACCTTTTAGGTGCACAAAGAGATAGTTACCCAAGAAGACTTCGTGTAGAATGCTTAGTTGGTTAACCAAAAAAATACACTGAGTTTAGTGAATGCAAGATAAACATAAAATATTATTTACAAATTTGCGAACAAAGCGAAGCAGTCGTCAACTTCTGTGTTTTCATTCATTCTGTGCAATAAGCAGAACAGCACAAAAGTAAGGCATGGAAAACAATAAATCTCAAATAAACCATCTACAATGAATACACAAACTTCACTTACAACCAACATCTAGTTTAATTTTCCTGCTGCGAATCCCACCATAACTGGTCTTAACAACACAGTGGTAATACCCAGCATCTGCACGACTAGTAGACCTGAGTCGAAATGAATAGGTCAAATTTTCAGCAACTATTACGTCATCTTTATACCACGATATCAGTGCTTCAGAAAAAACGTTCGTTTTGCAAGGTAATAAAACTTGTTCACCCTCCGGCACTAATAAATCCGACTTTTCTTGTATAAACGGTACAGGAATATGGTCATCATTGAGTCCATTGCAATTAACGAATGATAGGAATAGAAATATTTTCAAGTAAAATACGACAATCTTGCTAAACTTTTTCATTAAACAAAACCATATGATTTTTTGTGAGGTGTAATTTATAATTCGATGAAAAATCACTGAGGAAATGTAGTAACATGCAGAGAAAATCTTGCAAAAATATGACCCGCGGATTAGTGTTACTAACTTAAATGTATGTAGTCAGTGAACATTATATGACCCTAAATTGTGGTAGAGTCAAACAAATCGAGACGTGAGATTCAGTCAAATTCGATTTTTGACCCCTGGGTATATGGAGGTTTCTAGAAGTGCATTAATTAATGCATGCACTGATAATATGGCTGAAATAGCTTTCAGGAGATTTTGATTAACGTGAAGCAAAATTACAATGACAATCAGGTTGTAGATAAATTCATATAATTAAATAAGTGCGTGTCGTCTTCGCTGTTTGTGTATATGCATTAGTTTTGTATAAATACTTTCAGAAGGCATGCTCTGCGCACTGTTAGTAACTACTCAAAAGCCTTCATCACCTCATGGACGTTGGCTTGGATTTTTGAGCGTTGTGAAGCACAAATGTGGTCTTATCTGATTCGAAATTTAAAGTGAAACTGCTGCCATAAATGAATTATGGGAAGCGCCTCCATGAAACCTTAAAACTGACAAAGTCTATTGTTAACAGGGATTTCTTTTTTGAACATATGTAATTTAACATTAAGTTCACTCAAGTTCCCCATACCCTCATGATTATAATCAACAATTAGATTGTCACGTGATTTATCTTGATTTCCTTGAGTAAATGCGAGTCACAAAAGACTAACCTGGTGTTCTTTAACTCGTTTTCCCTGCAAATATAAATGCAACCAAAACTAGATGATTCACTCAGCAAGTTAAGGCTGTTCGCTACGTTGCCTTCCCTGTTGAAAAACTAATGATTTCCCACTTTCTGATATTTTACTAATGTTACATTTATCCTTTGATAGCATAAGAATTGAGAGGAACACCTTCAATAAACTTATATGTAATAGGTGTCACGCATTTTCCATGGTATTCCCTAGGGGGATGGATTAAATGACAAGCTTTCATTGCTCCCCTAGACCACATGAATGTTTTAGTTTACAGACCAAATTGTGGGGGCTGTACACAAATTCAGGCTTAGCACATCTCAGTCCTGGTGTTAGGGCAAGTCTTCCGATTTAAAATATTTGACATAAAAGTACTGAAATGAGAATGCCTATTAATCCATGATTTCAACACCTCACAGGTTGGTTTTGAAAATTTGGAGACAAAACTATACGACTTCAGATAATTTCCATTGCAGTAGCAAAAATTTTGTGGCATGAGTCCGAACAAGCTTCTTCAACTTCAGGTTCATCTTCTTGCATGAAGCGATTAAATCCACTCTTCCTCCGTGGTTGCCACGTGTTCACGGCAATGGCGCTTACCGGAAAATCACGCGTAGATATCTGTGATGTTTCAGCCCTGATATGGAGCTAGACACAGAAATTGGAAGTCATTTTGAAGGCAATGTCGCGTCCTTTCATGCAAGCACACTGTCTTATGACTCTAGTTCATATTTAATGAATATTCTGAAAGTTTCCAGGCATCGTTCTTCATGATCGAACCGACAGATGCATAACTTGCTTGGGCATAGATATAAGTATTGCTCTCGACATTCTGTAGGCTAGATATAATTCTCAAAGAGCATCAACCTGACTAGAGATAGATGCGAATTGGTCAGCGTTTTGTGTATTAGGACAATACCATCTGCATTCTGCAACTGATTACAAATTTATGCTTAGGTTCCAAAATCTGCCAAATTTGGAACATATAACCAATACATTCACATCTACACCTAAAGCTTCACATTATTTTACTGTTTCGTTCCTCATGAGGGATAATTAGTCTATAAACGGCTAGTGAACCTAGAATTTCAGATTTCTCAGTGAACGTCTTCAGAAGATTTTTACTTTTTCTTGTAAAGTAGGCTACACGGTGGTTGGCATGAGTTTATTGGAGCTGTTTCGTATTCCTACATGTTAATATCCTCGTCATCTGAGTCAACACTTCAGTAGTTCCTTTCTTAACATTCTGTAGAGTCACCCTGTTAGATCCTGATACAGTACCTCGTTCCATATTAGAGACAGCTTTTCCAACCTCAATCACAGTTGCAGAACCTACGTCCACACCTCTTTCAGGTGGTTGGATGATACTGCGAGCCTCTCACTGTTAGTTAAAGGTTCACGCTTAAATATTTCTCTCCGGAGCAGGGATCTTATGTTCCCACAGAGATGGGCGCTTATTCAAATGGTAGAAGTTTATTTCTAACAATTAAAAGTGGAATTCAAGGCCTTCCTAGTGTGGAATGTAATGAAGCACACAAAAAAATGGTTGACCTATTTGTGACCACAAGAACGCTGTATCCAGATACTTAAGAAACTCTAAGGAAGGAGAGTTGGCAGACTTCAACTACCTTCGTTCAAGCATCTGACAGTTCACTTGATCCTCCAAAATTTTCAGGGTTTACAAACAAAGCGATTTCATCGCTTGTCTAGAAGGATGCCATGGTTGCTGCCACCCAGAAAAAAGACCAAGGCAAAGTCTTCGAGACTTTCCTTCATGAGAAAGACTGTCTCAATTTTAAGACCAAACAGATACTCGGTGACTTAATCGTCGTAGGTTCGAAAAAGCGTCCTACAATGGGTCATACATGAACGCGAGTAGTTGCAGTTGTTGGTAGTCTACTTTGTTTGATGTGAGACCAAAAATATGGACGTGCACACGGATCATGGCGCAAATCAGTAACAAGTACTGAACCGAGCCTACCTTGTACTAGCTAATTACTCGAACCCTCTGAATCTCCACAGTTATCTCTTCCAACAAAATATTAACATAAGCCACAGATGAAACACAATAAATGCGTTTCGACGGGATAGAGTGTTCATGTATTTGGTACTCACCGTGTCACCCAAGGACGGCGGAAAGTCAAGCCCAAGGTCATCATGGAAAGAGTTGACAACGGTATGTTATTAAAATTCGTACTCCTTGTTGGCTTGTCAAATTGTGTTAGTGATTGTACCTAATCTCCTAATATTACGGGAACATTCTGGAGAGCCCCTTGCTTAGTAGAATTACTTCTGTAAATGATATATATCCCATGTTGTCTGGTCTTTAAAAACTACAGATTCTTCTCGAAAATTGGGGGCAGATGAGTCGTAAAAAGTTTGTCATTTGGTATTTATCAACATATTTAGATACTGAATTTTCAGGAATCCTACATTTTAAATACTGTATTGTAGTGTTTATGTTACATTACCAAATGTGATATTCTAGAGCTTTATCTGTATTCTCTCAGTAGTCAAGCTAGACTTGTCTATAGGGTTATACTCAAACTGATTCGCCAGTCGTCATAAGCTCCATGGCCAAAGGATTTATATGGATAACGAGGTGAGATAATACATCTAACTATATCATATTAAATGCATTGAGTCCACGTAGAGTAGTGGGACATAATACCCTGACATTAGGGCACTTTCTGAAGTGCACCTGTGTACCCCAGTGTCAGTGCTGGCTGGCACGGTAATTCTGTCAGGAGTTTTTCGGCTGGGAGTTATAGAACTTGAATCCACATAGTTAATTACCCTAACGTGAATTGAATCTATTTGATGCCTGATTGCTCTGCTTCTGCCATTCTTCATATTTTATCAGAATCGTATGAGCATCGAAATGCGCATATAAACCTCTACAGATGTACAACTTACCACGGACTATGCATGGATGAGGCTCAAATGTAACATTCACAACTGTTTCGATCATTTGAGTTCGGTAAATATTCAGACAAACTACTCATGTTGGTAGTCTCTATAAACTATGGTTTACCGTTAGTTACCAATATATCTAGTGGTTCTGAGCTGAAGTTATGCTCCACCCTCAGCATTGGCAACGGGGTAATTTCATCAGCCCTCCTGGGTCCAATACATTAATAACAGCTGTTTCTTGACATTACAACATTCTGTAACCAGTATGTTGTCTACATATTTTCCTACGAGGTTTATATACACCCACATTTGAAAAAATTACGTCATGACCATGTCTAAAAGGATAGCCATTTCGGAAGAGGTGCAAAGAGATCTCACTAAGCTTTTGACTTGAATAGCTTCGGGAGAGCGAATTCAAGGGAACCAGGCAAATTTTGGATTCATATGATGAAACAATGACCATGTGCCCGCTCTTCTACAGGTTCAGTTAAACATATGCCTACTAACTTTAGAAATATACTTCTTAGCCTGAAGCTGGCGTGTCTCCGCATATCGAGACAAGTAACAATGTTTGTTCATGTAGCAGTCATGAGAAAGTATGTTATGTTAACCAGGGTGCTGTAGTCGAATTTATGGAGTCATGCGAAAGAGTAAAGGGACAACCATATCATTGTTCTTATGTAGTTTTGTTACATACCTACTGAGTGTCTGCTTTTGTTCGACTTCCCAGAGATTAAAGTTCGCAGATTGTATAGTTCTGTCAGGTGCGTATAAAGCATTCAAAACAATGAGCACAAATTTGAGTGTTTAACATTCATCTCTCTCTTGTCGGACGTGGGATGATGCTACATCACTGGTCTGAACCGACTGTTGTTTTAACAACATGAAATATAGTGCTCGAATATTTCGGCCATATGACTTGTTCGGAAAGATCCATCGGATCTCATGGAGTGGTTTCTGAAACAATTTTAGCTTGAATGCTAGGGATCGCTTGGTACTTGCCAGCTGGTTTCGTCTTTAACAGCGAAATAATATCCAGCTCCTCACAGAAAGGCTTGTGTACGGGATATCTTTCTGTCCTGCTTCACGTCCGAGTCATCGTCTCTGTAGATGAAATTTTAAAAGATTAGTGGTTTTCAAATGTTTTCCTCGGTTTAATTACTTAAACTGAGTGAAAGCAGGTGGTAGGTAACATGGAGAGAAAGTATAGAGTGCAACTGAGGGAAGTAATCTAATCTATGAAATTGTAATTCTTCACTGATTTAACTCACTAAAACACGTGTCACGTACTAGATGAAGTGGGATTTATGACTGGACAAATGTGGCACTAACACAAGAATACATAGACTTTCTAAGCTGATATGAACAAATATGGAATGATCACTTGAAAAGATCATGGGGTAAATTAATACTAGGATAATTCATGTTTAATACAATCATAATTCCCACAGAACCCGAAATCTGAATAGTCGACTTATTCTGTACAGCAGCACGACTGATTTCAAAACTCCTTTGAAACTAAAGTTACCCATACAAATTGACGTCACACGCGAAACTTAAATTAATAATACGAACTTTAATAGGATTTTATTTAGGGTCGTTCTAGAAAAAACTGCCTGACAATCTTAAATAAGAAATTGTTCATATCAAAACAATTTAATTGTCTTCCAACAGTATATTTTTTCAAATACGATATGTGTTTTTATCGCGTCTTCTTATCTTAAACCATTTCATCAGTATTTTGTGGTATTTTCAAGAGACAGAAAATGCATTAAATTAGGAAAACGTTCTCAAATATGTGTCATAGAAGTCATCTGGTTTCAAATATCTAAACTTACTAGTTCTTTTTCAATAATACATACATGGATTTATGAAATAAACGGACGCGTACTTTCCAGTCACCGTCTCTCACAAAAAATTGCTTTTACTTTGTCAGATAAACGAAACCGAAAGTCACGGGTCACGACAGACGAACGTAAATCTAGTGGAAGTGGAAAGTAGGTGTTTATGTTTCCCCCTCTATCTAGTATTTTGTGTAGCCTCTACATGAAAACCATCAGGCATGTGCAGGTAATTTTGCATTACTTTTTAGCAAATTTTTCAGATGGATCCGGACAAATTTCCTGGTTTTTATGTCTTTCAAGAATCCGCTTTTGGAAATGCCATTTTACCTGGAATTCCAAGAAATGAGACAAATAAATGATAAGCTTATAGGCAATCAATTGTAATCTAATTGTTATCCAGTGGAAGAACTGTATCACGGTGATATACCAAATAATTAAATTATTTTACAGATTGATGAAATGCGTTCTCAATAACTCGTACACTTCTTTAACATGTAATCTTCTATACCATTCCTAATTCTCTCTTTTATGTCCTCACAGCCCTGTCTTTTCTATATGCATATACCAAACTCCAGAATTAGTGGGTATACCAATGTTTATCCTCTTCGTGTCAATATGTTCGCATATGTAGGATATTGCTTCAGGTAGTGAGACGTTCGTGGACAGTGAGACGACAAGTAGTAAGGACAGTGTTCGATTAGGAAAATTGATATTTTCGGTGAAGTTGACAAAGTCGAAAGAATCCCAGAGTGAGTGGCAAGAAACTTGTCTTTCGATTGGTTCTAATAGGTCACTAGCCATTGATCAGTGCGATGGTAAGGCGAATTCATGCCAATAATGGGTCGAAGACGTGTGGCTATTGTGTACTTTCGGTAATCTATAGTTAAGAGTTCAAATTAGAGAGGGAGAGTCAAGCAGAAAAATATTTTTCTAAACGTTCAAATAACACGCCAAAATGGAACATTGAAAAGATCCGTCTACAGAAGCTGACATGTAACGGACAACTCACTAACTTTCATAGTTCAGTGCATCTACGAATAAAACGAAACCTGATCTGTTCACTTAGCCATAGAAACCCCAAAATTTGCAGCCCTAACATTATGAAAAGAATCCTTCTCAGGAATGGCTAGGCAGAACGTTTCACTACTAAATTCAATGGAGACTCATCAGCAGGAATACTAAGAAATCGCCTTTCCCACTCATTAAAGAAAACTGTCGCGGCTGAACTTTAACTAACATTCTTCACAAAACCAATGATGCACATGAACGTGAAGGTAAAGTCATCAGTGCTGGCCTCATCAATATGCACCTATGAATTCACCTACTTGTTTTGAGCTAAGTATGTTGGCCGTACCCAGTGTTTGCTATCCAAACGTATCACCGAAGTTTTATCCTTATGGTTTGATAAGGGAGATAAAGATCCCCTGGCAGCTCTATCCTGGAACACCTGATGGAATCTGGACGCTGAGCTAACCCACAAACCAACTTCAAAGTCATCTACAAAATCTGTAGGGATCTTGCTAAAACAGTAGGAATCAAACTGCAGAAGTAATGACTACCCACAAGTTAAACTCCGAATTCTTCATTCAAAAGAAGTTTGTTCAGTCATTGAATCTGAAACGGACGTGATCTGTCTTAACACTGAATCTGTAATTTTTGTTTTTAATTGTACTATTTTCTCCCCTCACCTCCTATCAAATTTCCACCCATTTATTACCACTGTTATTAACATGACTAGTTCAACTTTATTTGAATTCTGATCAATCCCGTCAGTTATATTACGCCACTTAATTTACTTGACTTTATTTTTGTATCTAACCGATTAGCGCTTTTTGTAGTACGTAATTTTTTGTCTGAAACTTCTGTCTAATAAAACTTCGATTGACACATCTCTAGAAATATTGCTTTTATGTCTAAGAAAATTCACTACATGTAATGCGATTGTACAGCTTCAGGATGCTATTGCTGAAAGGAGTAACTCTTCTCTATAGATTACCGGAAGTACACGAAAAGCAACACCTCTTTGACTCATTATCAGCATGAATTCACCTTACCATCATATTGCTGAATGGTTTGTAGACCTACTGGAGTCAATCAGAAGGTAAGTTTCCTGCCACTCATTCTGAGTTTCCTTCGACTTTGTCAGCTTCATTGAAAACTCTAGAATCCTTGTCTGTATCTTCAAGAAAAATAAACTCATTTTTACGTCATATATTCTTTCTGTCAAGTGATTTTGATTTTAAACTATGTCATGTAAATCAACCTGCTGATCCATTTTAATTGAACCACAATAGAAATATGTGAAACTTTCTTGTTTACCTTTACAATCTGATTCAGTGTTCGTCTTTAGATGTTACCTGTTTTTGTAACTACATTCAGTCAGTTTTCAGGGGTGAATGTTTCAATGTCAGGATTACTCTACAAAGTGACAAAGGAATTATTATACTAACTAATTAAAATGCACTGTAATAGGCAAGACCTAAATGCATAGTCAAAATGAAATAACTTCATTATTAGAAATATCGTTCCATTGCATCTGGAAAGTGTTTTAGGACGCCGTTCTACCCTTTTCAATAAGGTTCTACCCAAGAGCTTAATAAGCAACATTTCATCTGATTGTTTACTCATTTGAATAGAAATATTACTTGTTAAGTGGATTCTCAAGGGAGAGATTTACATAAAACTGAAGCAGTTCAGGTCTTCACACTTCATGAAGGCTCACATTAAAGGTAGAGAAAAGAAATCCAATGTAATTGTTATAGATGAGAATTTACTACTGAGAGGATAATTCGATGAAGAATAGTGATGGTTTATTGAAAGCGGGAGATTTCTCGGAGTGGGTACATCTTCCTCATAGAATATGATGCTAGGCTAGCACTGATATTTAGAACCTCAGAGGGATAGTCTAAATCTACATACATAAATCAAACCAACCAACAATCAAAAACTTCACTGATTGGTGAAATGTGTTTTTGTCTTCTTTCCCCTAATTCTCTTCTAACCTGATCCTACATTGACAAATTAACGTATATTCCCCAGGGTTTTATTCGGGTTAATTTATAACACTCAGCACTAAAAACGTCCGTCCCAAATGGTCAAACGTTGTGTTCCAGTTTATTTGTCTAAGGCTGTTTGAAGCATTTCAAAGCATGAGTTGTTTCATTTATTTCAGCAGCTTTATTCATCAGTTAAAATCACAGTGGATTGGTTCTAATACACAAGTGTTATATTAATTTTTGGTTTAAAAACAGTACTCTGTGCAATTAGTGTATGGAAATTAGTTTCAGTAGGTTTTAAAGTGTATTGAAATCATTGATATAAGGATAAAACTTGGACACTGTGGTGGAGTAAAGCTCCATTATGATAAAATCACAGTAGTATTTACTGATGACTGCTCATAATAATATCAAGGTACTCACACAACTTTCTTGCTTCATTTATATACATGAGTAAAAATTGATGATTAGACATTTAAATAAAATTAATGTAATATAAAGTACATAAGCAAATAATATTGTTGTTATGGATAAAATACAATAAGATGTTTCTATAGTAAAAATAAGTAACTTGTTAGACTGTTCCGGCAAGTATAAATACGGTTGTGCAGCCACTAAAGATGATTTCGTGGATAAAGGAGATTTTCTCCGCTGAATAGTTTCTTATATTCTTAACTTGAATACTTGGCATTTCCATGTGGTACAACGTGATACAGCTTTAGGACAGTTATATCTCTGTGGAGAATATTGAAACATAGTTTGATTGAAGATTACAATGATTGTGTAAAAATGTGAACGACATATATAAAATCCTGAAACTATAACATAGGAAATACAGATTATATTCTGCGTGTGTTTGGTGGAATCGACATGACCCAGTGTCTACTCCGGATATATAGGAAATTGTAATGAGAACAGGAGAAAGTAAGGCTGTATAAATCAAACTGAGAAATCGTGCGAATATGTTGCGTATCACCTTTTAAATTGTGTACAGAAAAAATGAATTTACTCTCTGCTGGAATTGTGAATTCAAGAAAGCACCATGCAGGTATTCAGGCAGCCAGTTTGCTGATTAGTCTTATTATGGTGAAAGCAAATGTGTATTTTCGGTAATTCCTCGTTAGGCTTTAAAATTATATAACCAGAATTACTGATCATAGAGATTTGATACCAATTTTGTTAGTAAAATGAAAGTTCAGGTATACGAATTTATGGATCATAATAACGATAAATTCACGCAAGTTCTTACATATTATAGGAAGCCAATCAATGTAAATGAGTGCGTCGGCGGTTAGGACGCTCGCCCACCATGCACATGGTCCGGGGTTCCATCCACGGACGCACTCCTTTACCTCGCTAAGCCAGAAGTAATGCTGGTAAAGAGGAAAGGTTGGGCATGAGGCTAGCAACCCCATCCTGTAAAATAACCACTGCTACAGAAACTTCAAACCCCTAGCTTGAGGCCCTATGTTCCAGTGGGGAACGTGAAGGAAAGAAAAAAAATCAATGTAAATGTGGATATTTGAACGAACAAATGGGAAAATAAATACTGTCTCATAGCGACTAGATAATGAAGTATTTGTTTTTACAATAACGTGTGAAATCAAGATTAAAGCATGCAATTATAAGACAGAATGATAATAAAGGCAATAGTACATATAACATATACATATATATAAAATAGATATAAGGTGTGCGTCGGCGTGGGCTCGAACCCCGGACCATGTGCATGGTCGGAGAGAGTCCTAACCACTGTGCCACCGACGCACATATGAACTTCGAAGCACAATTATCCTGCGATAATGGTCAAATTCAGATGAACGTAATTTTCAAAATAGGAGACTCCTTTTCCAAGAATCACATTGGCCAGTTAAGTCTTCTTTGAAATTGTCTCCACATATCCTGAACAAAGTATCGGAAGTTACATGGGTATCAGGAACATAGCGGAATCCGGTAATGTTATTAGAAGTTCCATCCCTTGAATTAGCTATAACAGCCGTGGCACGACAGATAACTAACGCGGTCCAGAGGCCTAGTAGATGACGTTTCAAGCCGTAGGTTATGGAATTGAGTCTAGGTGAAAACACAATCACCCACTGGGAATGCAAGTAAACCCAAGTGACGAACTCCGAATAGGACGAAGGTCGAATCCAAGACTCTACTACTTTTCAGCTCTTTGCAAATAAGAAAGTTACACATTTATATACGTGGATATGTAATAAGCAAGTGCGATGCTTAATTCTGTGATCATTATGTACGCAAGCGAGCGTAATGAATTGTGTAGATACAATGAATTGTAAAATAAAAACAACTGAATAGGTGTAATTATGATTCAATTTCAACTGGCTTGACATGCTCAACAAGAAAGAATTTAGATTTATAACTACATTATTATACTGACTCAAACTCAGTTGCCAAATAGCTCTTTAAACCTGCTGATAGACCTGAGAATAAGAGTCATTTATTTCCATTAATTTTCCCCAACTAATTTCTCATTTTGGCCGATGGAAACAACTTGTCCTTCGATATAATTTGCCAACTAAATAAACCCATGGATTAGCGTCTATCAAGAATCATACATTAGATGCGATACTGACTTCACTCATGCTGAGTGGTAGTAATTTACAAGAAGAGGATTCAAGGGAGAATTCATTGCAATACCATCCTTCTGTCTGTAGATTGTTCCATTGAAAGCAACTTACTGAAGCCTTAAAGAGAATGAACTGTAATCATCTCTTCACATAACTGACTCCTTCGAGTCTCATCCTCACTTAAAAGGTTATTCAGCAACATCATGAGTTAATCAGTCGACTTGATAATTTCACCTTCAAGCTCCGCTCCCTTCGGCCCAATTTCTCCCCAAACAACGGTAATAGACAGGCACTTCGCCAAAACAACCGAGACCAATCGTTCAACCATCTCGCACACTTTATAGTGAAGTTGGAACGGATAATATCTGTCAGTGTGATGCACATAAACAAATACTCATAAACTCTTTGGGAAGTGGCTGAGCTTTGAGCATTTTCTCTCACCCAGATGAGAGCAACTAGACCTTCAAAAAATCCCCAGTAAACACTGCAGAGGTAATAAATTGATTTTAAATCACCAATCTACGACTGTTACTATTCAGTATCCTGTGTTGACTTTCGCCTCTTAAGTTGAATGCTCACTTTCTAATGCATCTAGTCAAGCAGACTTCCCACTTCAAATTCGTCTGCCCCGGAACCATTCCTCGTAGGCGTCAAGACTTGCCAACTACAATCCTGAAATATATATAAATATATATTTACATCAATTAGCTATTCTTGCATATTCATACCACACATCAATCGTGGAAACACAGTTAATGCTGATGACTTTGAGAAACTGAGCTCTGAAATTCACAGAAAAGCATTGCGCTCCAATATGTTGTCAGTTTAAGGACCAAATGAAATCCTGTACACCAATCAAATCCCTACAACCCAAGACTTGAATATCAATAAGATGCGCACTAGCTACTGGCCCTATTCAGGTAGGTAGTTACCTGGGGTTCCAGTGAGAAGTCGTGACCAGTAGGGTGCAGCAGGTCGGGTGTGAACACAAATACTCACCGAAGACATTGGCTAGGGGTCGCGCTATGTCGTGAATTGGCAGAAGTTAGAATTCATGGGCCATTGGATCAGGTCCCAGTGGCTTAATGGTATACGAGCTCGCCTTGTAGGCAGAAGGTCCTGGGTTCGAATTCCGGTGAGTGCGTACTGAAGAAGAGTCCCAAACTAGGACGAAAAAGCTGTCCAGTACTCCCAGGTTTTCCAATTGTTCTCTAACCAATGTCAGCTCATGTTGAAATCCTGTAGACCAAATAATTTTTAGCATCACTGCGTTAGCGTTGAGGATCAACGAACTTCGTGAACCCAATTGAGCGCCAGCTACTGCGAACTCAATGAATTCTGATTTTGAGAATTTAAGAGGAATTAATTATTATTATTATTGTATCCTTTAGTTCCTAGAGGAACATAGGGCTTCAGCTGCGCACCTCCATTGACTTCGGTTTTCTGACAACTTTTTCACCCTGCTCCAGGTCTGTCCACATGCTTTCATCTCCTCCTCGCATGACCTCCTCCAAGTCACCCTTGCATTGACGACCAACTCGCCGCCTCCCTTTCGGGTTCCACTCGAGGGCTTGTCTAGTGATGTCACTTGATGGTTTCCTCAGCGTATGGCCAATCCATCTCCATTTCTTTCTGCCTATTTGTTTCACAATCGGTTCCTGATTGGTTCGCTCCCAGAGATCCCTGTTGCTGATCTTTTCTGGCCATCTGATCTTGAGTATTGAGCGGAGACAGTTGTTAATGAAGGTTTGAAGTTTGTTTGAGATGCTCTTTATGACTCGCCAAGTCTCTGATCCGTATAGTAGCACTGACTTCACATTGGAGTTGAAAATCCGGATCTTATTTTTGATGCTGAGTGCTGTTGACCTCCACACAGATTTGAGAGTAATGAAAGCTTGTCTTGCTTTTCCGATTCTGGATTTGATGTCCTCGTCAGTTCCGCCTGTAGTTGAGACGATGCTTCCCAGGTAGGTGAAGGAGGTTGTTTCTTTCAGGTTC